AATCCTGATTATAAAACTAAATATTTGTGGCAAGCACATCTACGAACTATATTTCTGAACCTTTCGTGATATGCTTTGAAGAAAGGGACATCATGCATTTCGTGGCACTTGGCTCAGTGCGTGAGCCATTACGAAGCAGCTAGGAAAATGCTTCGCATGCATTCTCTATTCCTAGATATTCGAAGAGGTCCCTTGTTTTCAGATATTGCACAATATTTGTGTGGCTACTATAAACAATTAGAGAGGGCAGTTCTTGACAAACTCTCTCTCGGAACTAGATTCGTCAATGTTTGTGATTCAGAGTGACGAAAGTAGCTTCATTATTAGGAGGGCAGCAAAGATGGTCCTATGGCATAGAGGCCATTGCGAGTAGGCACAACTTCAATCTTCAGAGTAGAGCTTCGAAAAGATTGGACAATGCTGATCCTGCGTCAGAATCGCATCGTACAGCTAAAAAGTACATTAAGATTGTGTCAGGTTTTGGTTGGGTTTTTCTGCAAAAAAAAACAATCTGCGCATATAAACACTTTTACAGTGAATTGCAGAGGTGGCAATTTCGTTTCATTTTAGTGGAGAGGTGTACGGTGTGGTGCTTTCTATTAGGTGTTTCAGAAAGTTCTGTCGTTTTTAGAATCTTTCGAGTTGATTAAAAACCATTTGAAAGGAGCGATCTTGTGTCTATAAGGAAACGTTGGGGGTTCAATAGGGTACGTTTTATTTGGAATGCTGGGACTCTGGAGCGAATGAACTGAGGGAAGGTCGTTTTAACATCATTTGGTTTTTGTGTATTCTCTTCAAGGAACTATCGAGATCGTCAGAAGTTTGACAGTAGATAGTTCACCGGAGCTACGAAGTAAGATGTTCGCAGAACCACTCTGAAGTTCAGTGGTACACCTTGTGAAGGGTGCCGTGCGATGTGCGTTCAAGACAACCTTTCAGGGATGTGTGTGTTCTTTATAATTGAGGAATGAGCCGGCATGTCTAGAGTTTTTGATGATTTTGATATTAGTATAAAATTGAAATTCTCACTGTAACAGTTCCATCTGAATACTGCAGCGACATGGCCAGCCGCTGAGCCCCATAGAAGCTGCACAACCTCTCCATCCAGCTGTAATTTACAATTCTGCAAAAGTTTTTTGTTGTCAGAGCTGATCGCCGTCGACTCTATTCAGGCAAACTTTCGTTAGGCTATCGAGAAGAATCGTTCTTTTGTACGTCGAAATCTGTAGAAAACGAGTCGCTTTCACCACACTAACCAGCGACAATTTGCTGGACGAATGCTTCAATTGGTGGATTGTCGGCGCACAGCCACATACTCGACACATTTTTCAGTCAAATAGACTTTCATCTTCCGATATAGCTATGCCGTAGTGACACACACGCTGAAAATATCGCCACGTTGGGCAAGAACCTCCTCTATGGTCTTACGAACAAGTGCCTTCATCCAGACTTTTGGCTAATCGAAACACGTCCGATGTCGACCACTACTCCTCATCATATTCAGGCTCTCGCCTTCCTTACAATAAATTTTTAACTACTGCTTCTGAGCACATTTATTTGCAAATCTAGGCCCAAAGCATTCGTGGTGAACATCGTGAACTGATCCCGCAACTTTCAGGTCTATTGAAGCGTAGAAATAAGAAAGTCATGCCAGCTGTCCTCGAGATACTGAATTCAAACTTTGAAAAAGCCTATAAGAAAATTTTAAGGAAAAGTTGTTGTGTTCTGAGCATTGATAAGAGCTGGAAAAGTTCTTCAAAATGTCATCAACATCAATCCGCAGCTTTGCTAGATTTCAAGGGAAATAAAGCATCCAAAAGCGGAATGTCAGAGCCCACGCCGAGATACGTGCATTTAAAATTAGGGGCTGAAAACGACAGAACTTTCTGAAACACCTAATATTATGATGATATTGTGCCAGAATTTTCTCAGTGACCTGCATAATGGCCTCCAAGGATTACCGTGAAGCCTTGCAAGGATATGTTATATCTTTTTTGAACCGACGGCGTATTCTCACATGTAGGTTTCCATACAATTTACTCGATTGGAAGCAGCAGTGCCCCTCAGACACCAGACGCTAAACAGGCTAATCTGAAGACTTTATCGCATTTCGATGAAAAATCTATGGGGCAGTTTGCCAGCGAAAGTCATGCAAATTACCGTCAGTCAGAACCTTCGATGGTTAACTGCATCTGCAGCTCTGCTACGAGACAACTGTAAAGTATCTTCGCAGAAGCCAACTTCTTGTAAAAAATAGCATTGTTCTGATAATTCTGCGAAAACACATTTTGATCAATCTAGTCAATTTTTGATGTTTTGACGGCGCGCTTCCTATGTTTGGCTGTAGCAATGAATCGTCACTGGAGGGGGCCGGGAAAATGCATGAATCATCATTGTTCGACGCCCATGGCTTCAAAACAAAATGCCAACTCGCCAGCAAGAAGACTTTCTTCGGTTACTTTCAGACTTCAGTACAACGTTCATGATTTTCAACTGTACTATCTCGTTGCAATGATCAGGTTCAGTCATCATGCTTCCCGATTTCATCAATAGCCCAATACCTTCGTACTCACACGTTCAGCAGTTGTGGAAGAAAACCCAAGGCTGTACGTCGAGCAAGACCTGTCTTGACCAATGGTTTTTTAATAAAACTGTCAGTATTCTTCTTTGAGCGCACAAGTGAACGCATGGACAGTGAAATCACTGCAAGACGAGCTTTCTCAACCACAATTAGTGCATCGGTTGACGAGGGACTCAGGATTAAATTGCGATGAGATCCTCAATTACACGAACTACACGAAGAGCTTCACCGTAAATTCCACCGTAAATTTTCGGCAGTACAAGGAATCGGACAAACAATAATCTCGCAATGCATAGAATCCACGAGCAATTTAAACTGGCAACTTTTTTGAAAAAAAAAGCATAGGACCTTAACCTTCAAGACGCCAGAGCCAGAGCAGGCAAGTCAATAAGCTGCCACTCATCACTGCTGAAAAACTACTACGCAATGTTACTATTGAGGCAATAGAAGCGCTTTTTTGCTTAACGACGAAATTCCTTCTCCTTGATTAATACTGGATTAAGCACAGAAACCCAAAATCAAACTCATCAATTTCTGTAATCAAACCGGAATTTTCGGCGAGCTCAGCAGAAATGCACCCGGTACATTATGATAAAGAAATCGACGAGATGGAATGGGAAATTGAACAAGCTAAAAAATGATCGACAACGAGCGGACTTGCTTCGAAGAGGTGAAGAGTCAAATCAATGCACTGGAACATGAAAGGGCCACTCAAGTGCTAAAGGAGAGTCCAGCAACACCCTCAGAGAATCAAAAAGTACAAGACAACACCGATTTCTCCACTACCCAAGAAACATGGCAAAAGGCCTAACAGACCAAAGAATACCTATGAGTCTCATAAGAGAGAACGCAATGAAAGTAGTGAAGATGATAGCGAGGATGGCTCCACGGGGGAAGACCTCCCTATCACCCAAAATCACACAAGACCAGCCCAAAAAAGAAGATATTTTCACCAGGAGCCAAAGGTACCTCAACGTCACCCATGGAACAAGATTTGTGACCGATCTCCAACAAAGAGTCAGATGAATAACCAAGAAACGGACATACAAGATACAGCGCCAATGGAACAATCACTGAATGAACTCCAGAATGGATTCAAGTTCTCGGCGTATAGAAAGGAAGATTCGAATTGAAGAAGTATCTATCCGAAACTCCTCAATACGATCGAAGAAGTATATCCAAAACTCCTCAATACGATGTATATTCTGCCAGAGCTTTCACATCTCCGACTCATATACGTGGATGAGAAATGGCGATGATAGATGGAATTTCGTCAAAGAAATCTGTGCCAATGCCCCAAGAACTGCGAACACTAGAAGGAAAGGTGATACTGCCCGAGAGCCAAGGGATTAGCTCTCGACTCACTGACACCTTCCGACGCAGGACACCGTAGTGCCTTCTGTATCATTTCAAGCTCTAGTCCAAGGATTGTAGGCCGTATTCGATGCGCGCAGGAATGATTTCAAAAGATGAAGACAAGTTAAAGAGAACGAGCTTGGCAGGAGTTTAGCTCTGCAACTATGGATATTTCTTGAGGTGCGTTTGCAAGTAAGAGCCGACTTTGTGCAGAAATAGATGACGCAGAAGTAGATAAAATGTTTCCGTAGTTTTGCGAAAAAAAAAGTTTAAAGGCAAGCCCCGGGATTGACCCGACTAGTAGGAGGGATAGCACTAGTGAGATTGCAAGGTCTGTACCTACCTAGATCACTCCAGCTTCGTCGCAAGAATTACGCGATGAGAGCGCTAATCCTTACAGGCTCGCAACCATCGACTCCCGATCCAACACACCCCACCCGCCGCGAGAGGTGGTGAGATCAGCGTGCATTGATGAGAGATCAGCGTACTCTCTCAAACGACGTGCTCTCTAGCGCATTTTGTCTTCTTTGACCACCCTTTCTCGTCATCGTACCTCATCCGACCCTATTGATGGTGAAGGCCTTACCTTCAGCGTTCTCAAAGAATTCACTTACTTTTCTTCCCACTTTTAGGTCGTTCCGCAGCTAAGCTATCACCACGAAGCGCTAATAGCATCAGTTTAATCGCGGGGTTTGCCTTTAAGTCATTCTATGGCCAATTGTTAATGTTTTGACGGCACACCTTCTATACTTGGGAGTATCAGTAATCTAATGTAATTGCCATTTAAAAGGTGTAGGAAAATGCGTATATCACCATTAAATTACGCCCACGACTTGAGGCATGAATTTCCATCTCGTTGTTAAGTTATTTGTCCTACTTTCAAGACCCATTACCCTCAGGAATTTATGCACTATCTCATTGCAAAGACCTAGTTCAATATATCTCCTCTTCCCAATTTCCAATAATTCAATATCTTCGTACTCGCACGTGCAGCTGCACAAGAAAACCCAAGTGTATATCGAGCAACATCGATACTAATCATTGGTTTTTTTTAACAAACCCATCAGTATTCTTCTTCGAAAGCAAGAATCAAGGCGTGGCCACTGAAATCACTGTAAAGTGAACTTTCTCGAACACACATGGGAATCTCGATTCGATGCCACGGAGGCTATTTGATGTCGCTCTTGGAAAAGGGAGAGCTAGAGGTTTTAAACTCTTCTAAGCGAACCATTAATCTCATTAGGTTATTTTTTCTCAGACTGACCTTATAATTATGAAACGGTGCAAAAAGTAAAAATAATTATAAAGAAGCTAGAAGAGAAGGTACTCTCGCCAAAATTACGATACAGGAGTGAATTATAGTGAAGAAACAGCTGGTATACTAGTACAATCCTCAGTGGCTTGCTTGCTCCGCAAAATCAATATTTGAAGTTGACCTTATAATTTTAAAACAACACAGCAATGTATTAGGTTGGTAAGTTTGAAAAATCGTTTTTGATCAAAGATTATTTCAAGTGTAAAAACTATACCAAAGCTTATCAATCTAATTTATTTCCTTTATGTGTGTCAACCACTCTCCACCTTTTCTTATGCAAGGCAAGGAGGTCTACATCGTAGAACTCTTCCAAGCACGACTCGAAGAAGTTAGGTACTCAAATTATGAGGTCGTCGCGGTTTTGCTGCTGAGGAGTATTGCGCTGACCTGAGTCAGTGATAGTTGGACGTTGCCAGGTCTGAGCTATATGGCGCGAGAGGGAGAGCGTCCCAGCCCAACTCCTCGATTTCTTGTTGCAAAATTTTCGCGACATGTGATCTTGCACTGTCGTGCCAAAATGATTCAATGACCAAATTTGCCCTTTGACTACGTAGAGCCTGATCCTCGCCGGCGGGATGTTGTGCTCAGAGTTTAGCTGTTACTATATCAATCAGCTCTCCATAGTAAGCCATTCTTATACTGCTTCACCATACTGTAGCAAGACTTTTTCTCTGTGGCTGTCCGGTTTCGGAAAGGCCCTCAACTGCCTATCTGTTGCCAACCACGGCCATCTTCTTACTTTGTTATCGAGGAACATCCTTCTGTAAAACACGCCTTCAACGAAGTCAGGAACCTTCTTCTTTTTGGAGTTATGCAGCAGAGTTCAAGTATTGGCAACCAATACTGCTTGCTCGTGTCGCTCAGAATAGGCCGAACCTATTTTCTTTCCTGGAAGGCCCTAACAGTCGCACGTACGAACTTCAAATTTTTTTTGTTGACACGACTGAATCTCTATGCAAGTTTTGTGCGGTATGTCGAGGACTCAATTCGTTGGCCTTCTTTATTTCTCCTTCATCTGGAGCTAGAGGTCAGAATCCACGACCATCGTCATCAGCTCCTTTACCTCAGTCTTAGAAGAGCTGAAACCATGGCTGAAAGTGCACCAGAAACTGAGTGTTGCTGCTCAATGCACATAATGAGTGGGATTCGTTGGCTGTTTTTCTTTGCTTGAGTATACACGCTCAGGCGATGTTTTCTGATCAATCATGTTCGAGCAAAAGTTTTGGCTCAAAGAACATCCGCTCGCTGACGGCTAGGGTTTTGCAGTATGCGCACTGAATTGCTCTCTCGAATGGGTGCTCTCCCATATGACGAGGTTGAGCTTCAGCTGAGAAACAAAGCCACAAAGGAAGCGACATTTCAAAGTTACCAACCTAATATGATACGACCACTGATTCGCACACCTACTATAGAACATTGCTAGGTGGGTATTTGCATCTGACCGAATTGGTCTTGAATTTACAAAACATGACTGATGACTAACCATATACTTTCGTGATTCGGCTAGAATTGTCTCCGCCAGCAAATCGGGCATATCTTTCAGCGCCTCTTGCATCTTGTCCATGCCATTCTCCCCAAACTTTTTGTACAGGTGTGCGATGAATTTCGGGCTGAATTAGAATTATTACCCACCAAATAACTGCAAAAAAGTCTAAATTTCATTAGCTCCTAGAAATCGGGTTGGTGGAAGAAAGTTGTATTATTAGGATGAGATCGGCGAGAAGTGGGAGGTGCCAAAACCAAAACCTCCTACTACTCTTCCATAATAGCCTGCAAACTATTAAATAGGGAAATAGAAAAAGAAAGTGTGTATTATATATACCAATGTACCGTGATATATCCCTCAATTGATTTGAGGGATATGCAATCCTTTCTGTTCTGCACAAGAACAAGGAGCTTCTATGAGAGTCGCAGGTAATCAAGTGATCGAAATTCCCTTTCATCTATACCGGTAGAACGATCGTGTTAAGGAATTCACACCTAGCTAGCTGTTACATAACCAGATCACTCGTTCCCATTGTTGTAAAAAACAGTGAATGAAACATTTCAATGACATCATCGGGAATTATGTTCAATTTTCAAATGGAATCCAATTTCGGAATCACTCCGCAGGAGTCCGTCTGAAATTGAAAAGGCCTCAAAGGTTGCCAAGGAGATTGAAGAGGAGATATGTATCCCTATATGCGTCTTGAAACGCTGATCGCAAATCTACCTTTCAAATCTGCCTAACGAAATCCAAACGAGTTACGGAGCCGAAGAGTGCAGTGATAGTGATCTGGACTCCACCTGGCAAGAGCTCGTGGGCTCTAGCCTGACGAACTCTTTTCTTTGACCCTAGTTTTGACGACAAGGATACGAATTAATTATCTATGCTTCGCTACAGTTACTTCTTTGACGAACTTGCGATAAAATCTGAACCGTTTATGCACGGCTACTAATAGTGCCCAAACCTCACGAGGTAGGCTCTTTTACGCCATCTAATTCAGAAATTCGTGTTCGGCAAGTAAAATTACCACTGGAGTTTTTTAACCGAATCCTATTCCATGAGATCAGTACAAGATCTACATGGCATTGCTTTCGAACACAAACGCTCGCAGTCGTCCACGAAAGTCGTCCCCAGTATTGGGGAAGGGGTGGAAGGGAACCAAGGACCGCCCCACTGCTCTGAAGTAAGGTAAAAATCTGTCCATTTGTCTGTTATGGGTATATGTATGTACGAGGAGAGTCTCAGGCCGGTATTGATCGCAGCGCCTCAAGTAGGGTTGTCTGCTCCTCTCAGTTCTTGTAGTCCCTTCGTTTCGCGTCTCCTCGTTTTCAAAATTATGAATCAGTTGAAAGCGCGAAGCGCTTCCAGGAAATCTTCCTGCTAGTCAATTTAATTTCGGATCGTCGCACGAGAAGGTTTCAAGTGCAACCTGTATCTTCTAAGCGCTAGTGCGGACTCTCTAATGAGGTTTAGGTTTAAAGCAAGGGGCCTGAGTATTCTAAGTTCCACTAGTAGTAAACCTGTCTCAGAGCTGAGCCGGAAGCGGGGACTCAGCCGCCTTAAGTATTATTTACTCCTCCATTTCTGTAGATTCACAGCATTGCTATTGTTACTTTTCGAAACTGTCGCTTGTTGAAAGCAAAGTTTGCTTTGTAAAGCTGTGTCGCTTATGAACGGCCTCGACATTTGATATTGTGAGCAGGGCATGATTCCGAAACAACTATCTGGAGGCCGCTTTTGAAAAGTGCGCGAAGATTTGGACGATGATCTCGGCCCAGCAAATGGTTGGTCGGCTGATTCTGTCGGTTTGTCCAGGTTAAAGGCAATCACTTCGAACTTGAGCAACATAAAACTTTGTTTCTTGGAAGTGTATGATTTGGTGTAAAATACATGATTTTTCTTTTTTTTCTCTTTTCTTTCTTTTTCTTCTTTTCTTTTTTTACAATGTTCCTTCTCTTCTTGGAATGGCGAGACTGTTTTCAAGCTGTCAATATTTTAGATCCAATCTAATTGTTTGGTCCACCTCAGGAAGCGAAGGTCCTCACTATGAGAGCATTCACGTTTGTGCGTCAAGTCGTGCAGCCAACGTTAAGGGGTACCCGATAGGAGGCCGATCACACGGCAAGAAAGCAGAATCAGCGGACGAGTCGCAGCGTGATGTAGTGATTTTGCGTCAAATTAAATAGAATTACCATTGTATGTCCTTCATCGCACATCATCGTCCGCTGACTCTCCCCTCCTGCGCGCGATGGGTCTCGTGTCGGTTGTGCGTATCCAAAATGCAGTAGGGTGCTTTTAAGGCCACAATCGCACGCCCGCCCCACAAGACACCCCCGCCAGCATACTCGTGGTAAGCACGTGACTTCATAATAAGTTGGCTGTGGATGTGGTGCGAATACTCCGACTACTTTATTGCATCTTTAGTGACTTTTTCTTCAGATATCTTTGTATGAAAAGTAATCGGCTACAAAGATTTCAGATACGAATGTTCTTTATTTCCACAACTTCAATATTGTAGGAAGTTTTGGATTCTCAGTGCAGCCTCAACTTTGAAGACATCCCTTTTTGTCCTCGTAGGGAATCCAACTTCCGCCATCGACGGCAACGCCTTCCAAAAGCTTGTCATTTTCTTTCGCTGAATGAGCGAGAACAACACCTCAAGATAACGGTTCTCTGCTGTGCGGCTCATTAATTTTCAGGTGTCAAATTTGATACAAATGTATAAATTTTGCAAAAATGTGCGCAGTAAAGAGATTATTCAACTATTATTACAACGATAGACCTGCATTAGACAGTTCAACAAGGTACAGAGTAGAGCGCATTGCAAAGAACCGTACACCGCTGTTCTGCAGCTGCCCGGTCTACATGAGCAATAAATGGAAGTGCAAATTGAGTTTAGGTTCCTAACAAATAATGAACCACATGAAGCATGTACCTGAAGTGTGCGTTCAGTGCCTCTGCGATGGCGTCAGCTAGCGTTTCCGGCTTTAATTTACATTCGTCCAATGGCAACTCATTTTCCAAATAATGATACAGTTCTCGTTGTAAGGATGGGATTTGGAAACGATGAGAGCAGTGAATCAAAGCGGCAAGATTTGTATCTGAACATGTAAGACAATCGACAGCAGATGAGTCGAACCCAACAACCCAGACATTCTAGGATACTGTGGTTAATGATCGCTTGTGTTATGAAAGAGTTTCTCGCATACCACCAATACGTTTCTGACGTAGATAGTTTCCGTCGGGGCAGATGTACTCCAACATTGCAACAACATCACCATAGTCGACATCCTCAATGTGAACACGACCAGTTTGAGCTTCCGTGAAGTTGGTATCGAAGCAGATCCTGAACAGCTGGTAAATGGGGACTCCTTCGCATAGAAGTGAATGCCATTTACATAAATGGTCGATCTATTATGTTTCACATTCGATGTGCGGCCCATAAAAGGGTGAATAACGGTCAAAGGAATTCTCAACCATGGCTCTTTACCGCGCGAGAATAGTGTCGGGAGCGATTGTGCGCTCGGAGAGGAGGCGGCACACGCGTAGCAACTGTGGATGTCTGCCTGGGAGAGCGTGACTGAACAGATGACGACGTATCGTCGACAACTCCTCGACCGATTTTCACCCTATTCACCACTACTACGGCTGACATTCTTTTGCTAAAATGTTAAAATGAACGCTGTTGCATTGCTACAACCAGTAAAAGTGATATTGAGCAAACACTTTTTGTTATAGCTTTTCTGTGAGAGCTACCGAGGACCTTGATTACGAATATGACGTTCATTTATAGCGCTAGCGTCAAACTGGCTACACGGCAGTCCTTACCAGATTCGGTGAAAACTTGCGTGTAGAAGATATTGGTGGCCCATTCTTGAATATTACAATCATTCTTAGCGCTAGTACACTTTACTCGTTTCTTCACTCTACTCGTTTACCCCTCTCGATGATGGGATTGCGCCTAGGACTAAGCCCAGGGAGGAGAGGAGCTCCAAGTCAGTGAGAAACTCCTCGTAACGTAAACACTGGGGTACAACATTGTAAAAGGATCAGTAACTCACTCCAGAGCCTCCCTTTAAACTCATGTCGAAGTAAACTCGGATCAAGAAAGGGGGTAGAAGAGAAAAGAAACGGCTCCAAGTGGTGCTACTGCCAATAAAGGATATCATATAAGTAAAAATAAAGCATTAAATAATAAAAATATACCATATTCGTAATATAGGATATCCCTATATGTGTTTTTACCGCGAAGTCGATTGGTGGAAACAAGGGTTGCACCAAATTAGTGTACTTCGCTAAATAAATGTCATATAATGGCCATCAGTCGCTTCGACAAGCCCGAAGGAAAATTCAGCCGAGTAGTTTCTACACCATCTCACTGGGGCTGCAATAGTGCGAGGGTGGCTAGAAATCTAGTAATCAAAACTCATGTATACATTTTCACTTCAGCATGGACGCGCTTCAGACCAACTGATGTTTTCTAATCGGTCGAGAACGTTTCCCAATTCAACCCGGACTTTTTTTTTCAACTGATCAGACACATAAACAAAATGGACTCTTTTATCAAATCAGCCGTACACTGCATGAATGGGTCAGAAACAAACATTTTTATTCTCAACCGTGATGTCTTCTTAACAGGATATTATTTGACTCTGAAAATTTGCTTTAAATTTAACATAACATCGATTGTGTGGAACAAATGGGAATTCTTCTATAACGAAACACAAAACGAAGCTAACACATCTAGTTAACAAAAGGTCGTCCAGCTGCTGCTGTCATCACCGTGCGGAGAACGGGGCTCAAACACACTGTTCCATCATCGTCCTAAGAATTTCTTGAACGACTGCGCTCAGCGTCTGCTCAACGGCCGCGTTATACAGTGCGTTTCAAAAGTATGTGCACACCCCACCTCTGAAAGGGAACCATAAGGTTTCGTGCTATGAAATCCTTTCCTCATCGATTTCTCGTAGTCGATAACCTATCAATGAAGAGCAAACAGATAATATCGCCTCAATTTCGGAAGAAATTTTTGATGAATTTTTTTCGTTGTTTCAAAAGTATGTGCACACTTAACAAAAGACAAAAACATAGCTGCGATTAGAAACCAGTGGGCCTCCAGAGTTCTAATTAGCTCAAACATCCTGTCCGGCATAATCTGAACCACGTTTGGCATAGCTGTTTCGTCGCTATCGGCCCAAAAAGCCTCTACCGCCGCCTTCAGTTCATCCGCGGTATTATACTGCCGGTTGCTAAAGTTAACGCCTTGATAAGGCTCGCTATAGGGTTGCAGTGAGGAGGACACACAAGAAATCTATCGCTTCAGCACCTTTTGTTAAGGTCATATATTGGTAGATTGCGAAGCATCGAAAGACAACGGTGGTCCTGTTGCTAAAAATGCAATTTTCGCTCCGCTTCGCTAAGGAAGGGCAACAGGTGACATCGGAGCACTGCTTGGTATTCTTCACAGTTCATGCGCAGTAATGGAACGGCAACTTCTGAATTTCCGCTGACTGTGAAACCGCCGCAGACCCATCAACGGGCCTCTTCCGAAATACCTTCTCGGGAGCAGAAGCGACTCTCGGCCAAGCCTCTCCAGTAGTAGCAAAATCCAACCGGCCCGTCAAGATCGAACTCTTTCCATGAGTTAAGATTACCTGAGGAGAGAAAGTCCATAAAAAGTTGCTTGTTTTGAAAATAGGAAATTCTCGAAAAGCCGTGTCTTCGCCCGGTGTCCTATTCTATGTTGCCATGTCTGTACGAGCAGACTCCAATGTGGCTAACTTGTGCTGGACCTTGAAGTGAGTAGCCTTTCTCAGCGTCTGTCGTGTGGTGTATTCATTTGAGCGGATGAAGGGCTTAGTGGGCATTTTCGAGGCTGGAATAAAAATCTGAGCTCGGACTGTCAATGAGGAATCCGACAGGATGTGGGCTACTTTTTTGTTGTTCTGAGAAGTCAAGGATCGTGGATGGAGCGGAGTGTGTGCTGAGTAGAATTATCAGGGTGCCAGATAAATCTTCGAATGCATTACGGAAAATGACCAAGTTATCGTGTGATTTCTAGATTGGAACGTTCATCATCATGCAGAGCCTTGATCTGAGCTTGCTCATCTTCAGGAAGAAGTATGGCGCGAAGTGGCATGATGACGAAATGGAAACAGCCAAGTCGGATTGAAATCGGCGGAAAATTCGGCGCAAAAATCTGGTCTTCTTCAAGTGTGCACATACTTTTGAAACAAAGAAAAAATCTCATCCAAATTTTTTTTTCGAAATTGAGGCGATATTATCTGCTTTGCTTCCATTGATAGGTTTTCAACTACGAGAAACCGATTGAGAATGATTTTACAGCACGGAACCTCATGGTTCCCTTTCAAACGTGAATTTTGAGGGTGTGCACATACTTTTGAAACGCACTGTATAACATGCACTTCGCCGAGTCAAAATTAGGAAATCTCGTCGCTCGAGTTAATTTATTAGATACATTTTAGATGGGAACAAGTTTCAGGCATTTTAAAAGTGTGTTCATTTTGAGATGAAAAACGTCCACCGTGTTACGAAAAGTAGCCAGCATGCATGAAATATCTCCAGGTTGATATGTCCTGCAATATTCTCTATGTCCGCCTTTCTTGAAACCTGGGTATTTTTAATCTTGAATTGCTTTTATTGTTTTTGTGCCGCCGGTTTTGTACGGTGGAATATTCATTGAGCCTGACGTTCCATCAAACTCGTCGTCCTCAAAGGCCTGAAATGTTACCTGTCGTTCAATATGGATCCGCATTGGACCAAGTGCCACCCAGGCTAATGAACCAGGAAGTGGAAACATCAAGAATGGATCACTCCCAACTCCACCACCGTCGCCGTTTCTCGTTCAACAGCCTCCCTTGATGCCCTCCAGAGACAGTAAAGTGAATGAGACAACTAGTCGTGCACTGCTTATAAAGAGGGTGCGTGCAGTGCATGACGTTCTCATTATCACACTTCATAGAGAGGGATGTAGGGCAAGAAGTTGACAGTTATGGAGATGCATTCGTTTCCGTTACTCATGCAAGGTTACGTTGCCTTATAAGCTTGAGGGTTTTTAGCCCCAACAACTAATATTTTTTCACATTGTCACTTTTCAAAATCACAACCAGCATGGCGTCTGACGTTTGCTAAGCGGTGCAACAATGCTTTCTCTTCTTTTGCTAGCCAGATGTTCCATCACTCGTATCCCTAACTTGTACATTGGAGAAAGCGGCAGACAATTAGGCGTACGAGTGAGTCAACATCTGTCTAGTGAAAGAATAGAAAGCACGGTTGCACCACTTAGCAAGTGAGAAGGAAAAAGCCATATTGGTTGTGATTTTGAATTCAAGTGTACAATGTGATTACGAAAACGATATTGGCGCAAGAAAAACTTCAAAAGCTTCCTTTATAAGGCAACGTAATCCTTGCATGAATAACAGAGACGAATGCATCTCCATAACTGCCGACTTCCTGCCCTACGTTCCTCTCTGTGGACTACGATGATGAGAACGACATGCACTGCACTTACACTCTATAAGCAGTGCACGACTGGTTGTCTCGTTTATTCTACTGTCTCTGGAGGGCATCAAAGAAGGCTGTTGAACGAGAAGCGGCGACGCTGGTGGAGTTGATATAAGTGACCCACTCTTGGAGTTTCCACTCCTTGATTCATTAGCTTGGGTGGCACTTGGTCAAATGCGGATCCATAATCAACGGATATGTAACATTTCGAATGTTGCATGATGCTTTCAGTCCTTTGAGGACGACGAATTCGTCGAAACGTCAGGCTTAATAAATACTTCACCGTGCAGAACCTGTGTGGCACAAAACAAAGAAACCGTCCGGGTTGATTACGAAAACGACCTTGGTCAATGGAAAAACGTCCGGGTTGAAAAGAAGAACGTCCTGAATCTCTTCAAAAAAAAGTGCGAAATGAGATGAAAAATGTTGCTTTTTGAAGTGGAAATGGTATATTTGTCTTGATACACACATAGAAAGCAGATGCTATGTGAAAGAATAAAACATGCCTATTGAAATAGGGAGACAATTCCGCCATCCAGTGTGCGTTCACAAACAGCGATCCGCCAGCAAGTACAACCTCGAAATGCCTTAAGGTCGACGCCGAGACGAATTCGCACATGTATCTTGCAATATCTGTGATAATATGGTATAAGTGGTGCAGAATGGCTGTCAAATTGAGAAACACGAAGTACGCTTAACTATAAACTTTGAAAGTAAGGAATAGCAATAACATACAGAGAAAACTCTCTTTACATCTGTTTCGTTCATCGCGTTTTGTTTAGTTCTGGGCTTCATGTCTGATTAGCTCACAAAAACGGTACAGAGTGGGCAAAAACTACGGTGACAAGAGCACTGTCAAACACCTCGGACTCTTCAAAATAGATAATGCATCTGGCTGAAGGGACCTTTGAGAGAAACCAGTGGACACACCAGCAAGGTCCGCGTGCACAAAAGTAAATATTGTGCAACATTGGTGCAGCATAACGGAATTCATGACATTAGACTAGTAGAAACCTTCCCCTCCCAATTTGAAGTTTTGAGCCCATTATTCTGTGAGGCGTGTGCTGGAAACGATGGTTTGTAAGTATCATTGAAGCATGGGTAAATGAAGATATAAAGCTAAAGTGAATAGCCTGTGAATCTGGGCGTCAGCTAGCTACATACACAACATCACGATGCATTCCCGATACGGCTCCGCCCTGGTATCAACGCAGGTAGTGACCAGTCCAGGAAGCGATTCTGTTTGGTAACCTCCCACAAATATATTTTTACAGTCCAATTGTGTTTCCAACGTCCGCGGCTTAAGAACTCTCCAGCCAACAATGTGGCGAAGTTGGACAATTCGACCAGCGTCATAAAGTTTAGCAAACATCTGGACACAGACTAAGCTCCAGGAATCGACATCTGAACATAAAGGGTGTAGCAGAATGAAGTCTCGATGGAAACAGCATGCATCGGCCGGCCATGAATGACAAGCACGCCTGACCATCTGCAGAAGTTTCATTCTGCGACCGTATAGACTAGACATTCTGTAGGTGGTAACCAGTGCAGATGAGTTATGAGCCTACCACGATAACAACACGCGGCACGCCTGGTGGCTACTTTGCAGCATGGCCCCACCATTTCAACCAAAGCTCGCGCTCTTTCATGAGAGAATGTACTCTCGGTTCGTTGGATTCGGTGGATATCTCGCTTTGAGAGCCATTTCACTTTATGCAGACAGGCATTACGAAGGTAACCAGATAAAAGCTCCCGAAGTTGGCCACAGCCGTGAGGGAGAACGGTCCGAAACGTCTCAAAATCTCCTTCCTCCGAAGGGCCGCCCGAAATCACACTGAAAAGATAACTCGCCGCGTTTCGAGGGAAACTGACTGAACCACGACACCACATCTATCGTATAGCGCTGCATTGTATTAGGTTGTCTCATAAGTAGTGTCGCTTTTTTTTAAACCAAAAAAATTTCACCTCCTGATGCTTTTACATCGTGTTGTGCACCATTCGAAAGAGAATTATCTGCTCTACAAGACGTTATGTTTCCCGTTTACCTATATTCCACAGTTTTGAATTTTTTAGGCCTGCGGAATGGGAGGTCTAGCCGACAAGAATTGACCAAATCGACAACTATCTCTAACTTTATCTTCCCTTGGGAGAAATCAATAAATGATGTACCCTCTCCTTACACATGACCTCTTCTTAACATTCGACTATTAGGTTCCCTAAGAAGTCGCGTCGCTCCTTTTCCAGACCTCGTTTTTCAACCAGAACTCGACGGTCGAGCACCATTAGCTGAGATCTAGGGCAAAAATTTTTTATAGCCGAGACATTGAAAAACTAGTAGATCAAAGAACAAGTCATGACTAATTCAGGAATGTACGCCTGGTTGATTTTCTCGTCTTCTCAGGAATGATTTTTTTCAAAGAAATGCGGTCACTTTCGCGGATAAAACACCTTATTGCTAAACACCTAAAATTCGAACTAATTCCCAACAAACATAAGAACAAAACAAATCAGGGATGAGAGCAGAAGAAGTGCTCCTAAAAGGAACACTACTTGGTGTGAAACAATGGCGTTTACCAGGAACAATTTTAATTTGAAAATTGCTATGGCTCATCGGTCAGCCAATTCGAAAAGAAACACGGGAAAGTTTTTTTGATAACGTAAGAGTGGAATGTTCAGAAGAGGTCATGAGTAAGTAGAGGGTACATCATTGATAGATTTCTCCCCAGGGAAAATAAAGTTACAGCTAGTTGTCGGTTTGGACAATTTTTGTCGGCTGGACCTCCCATTTCGCAGACCTAAAATTTGAAAACCCTGGGACAGAGGTGGAAGAGGAACGGAGCATCTTCTAGAGCAGACGATTCTCTTTCGAATGGTATATAATATGGTGTGAAAGCCTAAAAGATAAAACTTTAAGAAATCAAAGTGTTGAAATTCGGCCAGAAATTATGGGACAATCCGAAACATAAAACAAGCACGGCACCTACTGAATACTTTAAGCATTTTGAGGGATGAAACAGTGCAACAACCAAGAAAGGGGCAGAAGCAATCTAAGAGAAAAGGCGGAAGAGCCAGAAAAAGAAAAGAGCTCAAATGCAATTGTGTAGATTGCAGCTAAGTTATGTAGGTTTCGTAGCGAAAGTCTGAGTCGTGCAAGCGAATTATATGGGCCCTGTTACAGCAATCCCACAAAATGCTCCACAAGCGATACTTATACATAGCGTGGTAGGCATGCGCGGTAAGCGGCTAATGTCACATGAGTAGCAAGCGCCGAAATCAGTGCAGGCGTGAATGGGCTAAGCTGGCCCTTGAGGACTCGGGCGCGCTCGTCAAAAAGTGATTGGCCTTGTGACAAAATCCTTGAACAGTCTCTTGCTGGATGTAGGGGGTGGGGATACGTCCCTGAGGTTGTGGATACGTCGCCAATGTTATGGACACGTCCCCAAAGTTAGGGATCCATCCCCTCACCCGCGTTGAGATATGTTACTGAGATTGAGGATATGTCTCGATGTGGGGATAACCTCCAAGTCGGGTTTCATCCCCGACGCCAGTGAAGGGACTCATCCCCAACCGAGGCTTGCTGCACCCAAACCTCATCATCAGGTTCTCCGACGCCTATCTACGAATTCTGATGCCATCCAAAATTTGTGGGGGTTAGGGGTTGGAAGACATGGGAGGGGGAGGTTTAGGGATCGGACGCGGTGTTTCTAAAATGGGTGCCGTTTTCATCCACTAGCCCACTGGGTGCCTCCCTAGGTAGTTTTCTAACGAATTCGGTGAGGGAAGCATGTGGTATCAACTAGTGTAAATTAGCGCAGGCGCTAAGGTGATTGTCGTATTCTTGATTGAATCCTTCAATTACACGTATAGATGGGGATCAATCGCAAATAGTGTGCTAAGACTGTGACCGTAGGTTGGTGTCGGAAGCAGCAGCTACTCAAACAGACCTACACAAATAGCCACCAAAACATTTTCGGTGACATGATCAAAATCTCGAATTGACTAAACATTAGCCCTTAGCGGCGAATATGATATGTTGACCATGAAGATCACAATTGTTCAGCATAAGAACACTAGCACACCCGGTACCAGCGCTAAAGGTGACAATCCACAGTTGTGTTACGATAGCAAACTCGTGATAAACCACCTTCTACCGAGAATTTACGGACTAAACTATGATTTTTTAGGCAGTGTCCTTCAAGATATATAGGACGATTTGCAATCAGCATCCATCAGCGTCCAAAGACACGTTGGGCTACACAGGGGGTCTAAAAGAAAAACATTTTGCCTATGTCAGACTTCGCCCTTTTTCCTTCGCAGAGATTGACGTCGTTGATGGGAATTCCTCAGCAGAGTATTCTCTAGGTGACCCTCTACTAGTAATCACAGGCCCTCCTTCACTGCCATCAACGTCTTCAAAATATGACGTCATCTGTCACCGGCGTCAAGCTCAAGAAGGCCTACCGTAAGTGCTTCGGCCTGAAGCTCTTACGTAATATGGTGAATCGATTTAATGTCGTTTAGTTTTCTAGAGGCATTAACAACCACTATGCAATTCTCTTCGAAACTAGCTTTCCAGTGAAGGTCGTTATGGTACACGATCCTTCGAAGACCCTTGAGCTCGACCAGTGCACCATGTTTTCAGGGCAAGTTCTTTTGATGCCATCCACGAAGGTGGCCATCGTGAAGAATTTCTTACAGAATGAAATACGCTCTTTAACATTGAGTTGGGACCATCCGCTTTGAATTGAGCAAAGTGTGCTTGAATCCATCTGAAAGTGGAGACAAAATGCCTTTATTTTACTTGCCCCCCCCCTCCCCTGCACACATATAACTCACTTTAAACCCATAAGGCCACCTCGATCTATAACGTTTTTCTTTTGTCAATACAACGACAAAATGAATCATTTCTTTAAATCTCATCTTGAAGATCTATTCGAACAATGCGAACTGTATGAGAAAAAAGGGCACAGATATTAAGAGTATTCGAATAAATCAAGATTTCAACCGAAAATTGGCGAAAGCCCATCAATTGGAAAGGCACACAAAACTATGAAATTTCAACAACGGAAATGAATTTTGTGAGTTCAAAGGTTTTCAAAAGTCAAACTCTAAGCTCTAGGAAATTAAGTACCGCATTCCTTCGTGTCCGTTTTTCGGAGCCAAGGAAGAAAATTTGCCATCGACAAGAGTGTCGTACGTTTTCTGCGACGGCCAGGTAAAGGTTGTTTGCCAGACGCGCGAAACGCGTTCTACAAATGAGAAACCCGTTTCTCGCTTAGATAAGTCGTTACCTCCGCCTTGTTTTCAGCGAAAATCCAGTTGAGGTGCGAAATGCGTTGTGGTTGTAAAGTGAGTGCATTAAAGTCCTTGGTGAAAAAATCTGCCAATGATCTCCAAGCTGTCATAGAAGATACACGATATCGAAATGGATTTGATAAGAGCACTTACTATATGCCAACATGCTGAGGTTAGAGAGATATCCCCCTCCTATACACCTTCCTCTGTTTTTGTGAAGCAACCATCCCTCTCAGCAGGGTCAAACCTCGTGTCGAACAGTTCGAACGGGGGGGTCGCATTTGGCTCTGCGGAGGGAAAAGGGGTCGCATTGCGCGCTTCGGT